TCCTTCTTTTAATTGTTTCAATAAATTTATACCTTGATCTTCAAATCTAAATGGTTAAATGTTTAAGAAACCTTCCATTCTTACACATTCAAAGATGCCTTGAGAGGAAATGCCCAATTCTCTAATTTTAAATATTCTCACTGATATTTTCCAGTTTCTTTTCTCCTTAAGCTTGCTTCTCTTCAAATAATAAGGAAAAATCTGACCTCATGTGTATGTAGAAACTGTAGGTAGATTTTGACTTAAAATTAATTAAACATCAGAATTATTTTTTTCAAATTAAGAAGTACTTAATGGTTTTTATGGAAAACATAGTCTGTATTCTTAAAGATTAAAAAAAAAATCAGGACTATATTTTAGCAAACCTTGAAGAATCTTTTTTTCCTCTGAATTAAACTCAATAATGCTATGCTACTAAATTAAAGGCTATTTAGAGTCTAAGGCAAATACAACATACAAAACACATTGCTTAATCAGGTAAGGTTTTCTGGAAAAAAAAATAGTCTAGCTAAATTATGCTCCCTATTGTAGTGATGCTGCCAGTTTATTCAGATTTTTAACCTCTAGCAATAACAGATTATTTTGATAAATTATTCATATTTCTGCATTGTGCACCTTTTGCAATTTGCATATCTGGCAGCAAATAGGCCCACCTTTCAGGCTTCAGTCCCCGTGGTCAGACAGGATGGCCGAAGGCTGCTTCATGATTAATTTCATCTCGGTGGGGTTATTATCATACTGAAATGAGCAATACCCCTGAAGTATGCTTTCCTGGAGCTACAAGCACAAGAAGTTTAGTTAGCTTAGGAGTTCTTAAGCGTATAGTAACTTTTAGCTTAATTGCCAACCTTTTTCTACTTGGGGAGTATCTACACCTGAAAATAATACTGGATCTTATAAGGCTCAAAAACAGTAATTTAGAGATTGATTTAGCAGCTCATTGGATTGCAAGATAATTTGTCATTAGTTTCTGGTATATTACTTGAAAAGGATGTTTATTTTTGAAGGATCAAGGAGGTTTTTATATTGCTGTTTCACTTCTGAACTAATAAATATTAATTTTTCTTCTGGTTTGTGGAAAAGTCATTTGACTTTTCTATATTTAGTTTTCTCACCTAACAGTCTAAATGCCTTGTACTATTGCATAATTAGTGACAGACAGGTTTTAAAACATGTTTCTAGTCCTTTTTAGGAAATTAATAAAAGGTTGAGTCTTAATTTGAATCCTAGGGAAATTTTTAGTTCCTTAAATGTTTTTAGTTCATACCCTTAAAAAGAATTTCCTAATCCATGAAAATTAAAAAGAAATTTGTTTGAAATAGTGAATTCTGCAACTTCCCAAATGTAATCAGGGCCACAGTATGTGCTAGTGAAAATAAAATTCTGAAATTTAAAATTAAAACACTTTCTGCATAATACAGGATCAATGAAAAGAGAGAAAGGGAGTTCAGATTAATTTTGTGTTATCTTTCAAATGAAATGATTTCTTAAATGTAATGTCCCATTTAAAATCAGTCAACTGGAATTTTGGCCACTTTCATAATTAGATTTTAAAAATACTACATTTGAGTCCTACAGTTTTCAACTGTATTTTTAAAAATTTTAAAAAGGTGTCTGTCACTGAATTTACAAAACTACACTTACTGTTAAAGTTACATTTGAATCCTACATTTTTAAGCTCGTTAGATTCACACTTCACATTAAAAGAAGTCAGAGTATAAACAGAGGCCTGTAGATGAAAAGTTCATGATATTAAACTAATATTTAAACTTATATGCAAAATTGATTTCTTAACAAAATATTTGCAGACTCAGTATTTTTTCAGTTTGTTAGATGATTGTTTCAAGCATAAGCAATCAGAAGATACTAAAATATTTGGCTAATCTGATTCATAACAATTTGTTTGTATAAATACAACATGTTTCAGGAAGCTAGGAATACTATCAAAATACAATAACTATTTTGATAATTCCCTGTTAAAATATTCCCAGGAGACTTACACTGACACTTAAATCTAGGTCCATCCTGCCTCTGATTTTGAACTATAAAATATTATTTGTGGATTTCAGAATTATTATAAACTTCAGTTGAATCTTCTTATTGTTCTGGGTTTTTGTTTAAATCACTAGTTTATTTCCTAAGTATAAAATTAGCAAATAAAAACTTAAAAAATATAATAAAATATTCATTTGGGATCTGTATAGTGGAGGTAGTGAGTAATACAGAGGAAATAAGACTGTCTATCACTTAATTTTTGAATGAATGTTGAGAATACCAATGAGAATAGAGCTTACTATACCTTCTTTATTTTGTATATATGTGAAATTTTGACTAGTAAAAGGCTAGTGTCATGGGCAGTAATCAAAAGGAGACTGAAAAATTATGTGTAATGAAAACTTGTCTGTAAGGATTTAGTGTGTTTTTACTGTTAACAGAGTTTTAAGAAGTCTGGTCTTCTTAATGTACATTTATGGTCTCAGAGTTACTCTGTTCCTAAAGCCTTGGTTTTGAAAATTGAAATGTTGTACACAAGCAAATGTCAAATCTTAACACCTCTGTATGTGTCCTTAATAGATCTGAGGCTGAGAGATGAACTGAATGATCAATGAGAAAAGTTATTAATAAGGCCCTAAGAAAAGCTATCTATAATTCACAACTGGGTATACTAGGTGGTCTAACAGAATCTTAGACATGGAGAAATCCTTTAGGATCTGTGATCTAAGAATACAGTTAAAAAATAAAGAAAAGATAGGTGGAAATTTGACTATAAAATGCTAAGGTACTTTACTGACAGTGGTTTTTTAAATAGTTTTTTTTTTTTTTTAAATTAAGAACTACTCCACAATTCTGATATGTTGAGATCTTTAAGTAGTAAAACACCTGGGCAGTCTGGATGATGATCTTTTTTTTTTTAATGCTCTTTCTTATGTATTATTTTATCCTTTTCATCTACTTTTTCATTCACCAATTATTTATTAAGTCACCACTAAATGCTTGTTATAAGGTTGAGGAATTAGAAATATATTAATTAGGAATTCACTGTTGTTGTGTTAGTCATTCAGTCGTGCCAACTCTTTGCGACCACATGGACTGTAGCCCACCAGGCTCCTCTGTCCATGGGATTCTCCAGGCAAGAATACTGGAGTGGGTTGCCATTTCCTTCTCCAGGGGATCTTCCCAACCCAGGGATGAACCCTGGTCTCCTGATTTGCAGGCAGATTCTTTACCATCTGAGTCACCACGGAAGCCCCACTGTCTAAATGTAAATCTTAATTCTGATTTGAGATCATCTAATGTAGATGTGATAAAGATAGCACTAACATGATAGCTGCATGGAGTTTTCTTCCAGGTAAAAACAAATTAATAATGAAGAGATCATAGGTAGAATGGACTATGAATTTAATTTTGGCAAAATACATTTTGTCTAAAGAAATAAATTTAGTTATAATGTAAACCATATATGTGGATCAAAAATATTTATTTTATATAAAAACAGAATGAAAATTTACCATTTTCATAACTATAATTACAATACAGATAAATAATTATCTTACCAACAAGAGGTAAAGCATGAATTAAAATTAAACCTCTTCAATTTTGGCCAAAGAAACATGGATTCCTTGCTTGATTCTTGGCCAAGTATTAAAATGCAGTCTTTTTATTTTATAACTCTAACCAGAATTGTAATATTAAACAATCTATAATCAACATTTAATGACAATTAAATGAAAGGCTGAATATGTTTGTATATCAATTACTGCATTTATACCTAGCTTAGTACATAAAAATAATGGATCCTAAATAAATATGTAGTAAATGTAGTAAATGAACATATAAAGATTAATATCTGAAACAAATGACTAAATCTTCCTTCCCACGTTGTTAAATGAAAATTCAAGTATTGAAAGTGTAGTAAAGACAATCATGAACAATTACTTAGTGAAGTGTGCAATGATCCATTCCTTCTAAAAATCTTTATTTCTCCTTTATTTTTATGCTAATTAGTCAAACAATATATTCAATTATTTACAAGTGGAGGGGTTTTTTGATACTCTGTTTCCTTCAAGAGAACATTCTGAACAAATGGATAAAACAAACAAACAAAAGCGACCAAATCCCCTAAGACAAGAAGGAGGAAAAATTCAAAATGAAACTTGCTGATTCTCTCATAACACATATTGTTGCCCAGGCCCATGGTTTTGTTGATGGGCACCACAGTTGTATAGGGAATGACATTTTAAGTCAAAGGCTGGTGCTAGAATTTGGTTTTCCTGGGCTCTAGTCAGGCTTCCCTGGTGGCTCAGAGGTTAAAGCATCTGCCTGGAATGTGGGAGACCCCGGTTCGATCCCTGAGTTGGGAAGATCCCTGGAGAAGGACATGGCAACCCACTCCAGTACTCTTGCCTGGAGAATCCCATGGAGGGAGGAGCCTGGTAGGCTACAGTCCATGGGGTCCCGAAGAGTTGGACACGAAGTCAGTCACACAGTGACCTTCAATGAGCCACTTTATTTATGTCTCAGTGCTCCATGCCTTTCAAAGGGCTAATCATACAGAAACAATATGGAAAGAATTCTGAGAGTTTCAAAATCAGGTGCCAAGCAAGTGCAAAGTATCCTATGGTCAGTTAGAAGTGAAGTCACTCAGTTGTGTCCGACTCTTCGCGACCCCATGGACTGTAGCCCACCAGGCTCCTCCATCCATGGGATTTGGGCAAGAGTACTGGAGTGGGTTGCCATTGCCTTCTCCAATGGTCAGTTAACAGTGAAGCAAAACAGTTTCGGGCAACTTTATTTTATTCTTTTATTTGGTATAGTTATTTTTGTCTTAGTAAGCCTAACTCTCAGCACTTCTCCTAATAGTTGTGTTCATTTCTTAACAAAAATTCTGAATGCCAAGGACAGTGTATTTATGTTTGTTTTTATAAGTTTCCTTTTTTTGTTGTTACCTATCTTTTTCAAATAGTATTTCATGGTAATTTATTTCTCTTTTTATTCATAAGAGCCTAGCAAAGCCCCAGAAAGCAAACAAGGGACAATAAAAGTTGCAGCACAAGGTAAGCAATAAAACACTTTTAAAATTCTTAAAAGAAAAAAAAAAAGGTCTTAGCACTTTACTGACAAAATCCAAGCTGTTTATTGCAGAATAGCACCATCTGCTGGGTCATTATAGAAAAAAATTTTTTGTTGCATGAAGATACACATTTCAAGTACATATTTAATAAATGGAAAAAGTGTAATTGAGAGTAATACCACATTTTCAGAGGAGACAATTAACAACCCAAGAATTCATATCTCGACTCCAAATATGTCACTGAGCTTTTCCTTTTACTACCAAAAATAAACCATAGATTAATTGATAGTTGGATAATGATGATGATAATGCAGAGATACACAAATATATATATTTTCCAGTGTTTTCAGTTACATATTGTAATTACTGTCATCCTAGAAAATTCAGTCAGAATATTATTAAATTAGTATTACTTTATCTGTATACTAAGACTGTAAAAATCAGGTTTGACTACAAAGTAATCATCCTATTTTTTATGAGTCATTTGTGAAAACTTGCCCTAACATCGTTAGGGCATCAAAAGTGGTTTTCTTCAAGAGATCTTTAGAAAATATAATGATTTTTAAGTCATCAATTTGGGAAAATTACTTAATTTTTCTATAATGTTGTTTTTTAACTATCACCTGAAATCTCATCCTTTGAGAGGGCTATTCTAACTCCAGCGTCCGCTTTATAGAATACTCTTAAAAAAGAAAAAGTAAAATATTTGCAGGAGAAAATCTTTCTCTCCTATACCACATTATGGGGCTTCCCAGGTGGCTGTGTAAAGAATCCTTCTGCCAAGCAGAAAACCCGGGTTTCACCCCTGGGTCGGGAAGATCCCCTGGAGGAAGAAATGGCAACCCATTCCAGTATTCTTGCCTGGGAAATCCCATGGACAGAGGAGCCTGGCAGGCTACAGTCCATGGAGTTACAAAGAGTAGGACACGACTTAGTGATTAAACCACCACCGTGCCACATTATACAGTACTGACCAGTGACAGAGATGCATTTAGGTAGTGGTACATTTGTTTCTAGGCAGAAGCCCTTGTAGCAGACTTCTCAGCACATGCCATGATTACATTTGATCCAAAATTTTCTGTTACATTTAATCCTGAATCCAACTACATGTTAAATCAATCTAGTGAACATTTGATAAAATGGGTTGACAAGCCATCAGACCAATGAGGCTGTATATAATATATATATGCTAGAATGATTAAGAATTATGATACAAAAGTAATTAGCCTCCAACTAATAAAAATAAATGGAAAAAAAAGAAAGATTAAAAAAAAGAATTATGATACAAAGTTTTAGTTTTCATTTGATCATTAAGCTGCTCAACAAAACTGATTCTTCTCTAGAAGAGTTCTGATAAGGAATGTAATTAATATTATGGGGAAAGCAGGGCAAACGTCATCATCTCTTTTGTGTTTCCTATTCATGAATAAATTCCTTAAGCGAATGTCTACTGGTTCAAGAATCACTGCAGTTAAAACACATAGGTTCTTATGAAAGAAAGCACAATCACCCAGCACAATCTACCTTAACAGAGGTTTCTGAAGGTCATGGTGGATGTGGAACTATGACCTGAGGCTGGGATTTAGTGTTAGTTCAGCCTCATTTTAGAGGGTACAGGGGAGGGAATTGAAGGGATATCTGGAAATCTACTTCAAACTTCAGCTTGGGGCCATGGACCCTTCACTTTTCCATTCCAAGTACATTGGATAAGGCAGCCTCAGAACTTATTCTTTCAGAATAAAGGATTTATTGTCGAGTGAATAATAATGTAGAGTTTTGAAGGTTTGTTAGAGCTATCCTTTTAGGGAGATTAGATGAAAGTGTTGATTGAACACTGTGTACAAGGCAAGAGTCAGGAGATATATATACATGTTCACTGAATTGTAATGACACATCAAAACAGGGACACACCAAATAGGGATAAATGTCACTTGTGCTGTGCACATTCTCAGTAGACCTTTTGTAGACAGATTTTATAACACCACACCTGCCCAATTAAATTATGCATAGAACTAATTAATATTTGCAAGTGCTCCGGGTGAAGGCAGCTAAAAAACAGTGGCAATATTGCTATAGCAAAGACTGATATCTTTGTTGGATAAAGTGGTAAAGTTAACACTGATGTTGTAGTGGGGTAAAAAGTAGAGTTTATCTTTTAATTTTTATAACCAAATATTTTAAACCTAGTTTTATATAAATTCTGTATATTTATGTACATATTTAATTATAATTAAGATTTAGCATGCTTTTTTTTTGGAAGTACATTTAGCATTTTTTTTTTTAACAAAGTGTTTTGAGGCACTGAGAAGTCTATGAAATGAAGGTCTCTATGCTACAGGAGATTGCAATTTGGAGACAGGGAAAATTTAAGTAATAATACAAATTGGCTACCTAGTAGTACTAAATTGAATTGTAAAGATACTAAATGCCAAAGAATTAAGGCAAAGTGATTTTCAGTAAGTGGGATTTCTCATGAAGGAGAGGTGACTTGACTTGGATTTGTAGCATGACTTAAAAATAAACTGGAGGAAAAAATGCATTGTTGGTAAGTGGGTGACTTAAGTAAATATAAAGAGTCAGTAGTAGTTATAAAAGATGATCATTATCAAGACATGACAGAGACGTGTGTTGTTTTAAGTTATTATTTTTTTAAGAACCCTTTACTGTTCTCTTTGACCCTTCTTGAGAGAGGTTATAACTTAAATTTGGGAGACATTGTGGAGATAATTGTTAGAGAAAAACAGCAAAATCCTGTTTGCAGTATCTAAAAGGATAACACCATTCAATTCTTGTCCTTATTGTACAAACTCCAGGCAAAATGTGAACATTTAAGTGAATTAGAGAATCAAATGCATACTTGGTGGGTGATTTTTGAAAATTATGCCGTTTCTTGAAGTAAATTCTTATTTGTTAAGTAAAGAACTAACTACAAATAAGTCTATTGAGTCAATTTCAAAGAATTTTTTGAAATAATGCCTCATGGCTTTGAAATCTATTAGGCAGTGTTGATATCCTACAATGCATCTTAGTATCTTTATTACTCTACATATTTTATCATTGGAATAGGCAAATTTCTTAACTTAAAAATATTATAGGTATAGATCCTCTCTACATTTCATGTGTTATTAATTAAAACTCCTTTAAAAGAAACAAATGTGAATCAAGTAGAATTAATTTACTTGTGAAATTTACTTTTTTACTACAAAAATAATGGCATGTTAATAACATTTAGAAAATAGATAAAAATGACCTGTAATATACTAAAATAATAAATTTAAGTATATTCCTTTCCAGTCTCTTGTTCCCGATTTTTATACCCAGTTCTGCTACTTGCTCACAGTCGGCTACATTGTGTGAACATGTGTAAATCATCTGATGTCTCTAAGGCTTAGTTCCTTGCTTTGGCCTGCCTTTCTTATAAGACTATTCTGAAGGCCAAAGAGAGAATGGACACAAAAGTGTTTTGGCAATTGTAGCACAAAGTATAGATCCAATGTGGTCCTGGACATTGGTTGAAAGTGGTCCCCCCAATTCTAATCCACTCAGAAGGAATTGCTTTAAGGGATGCGCACAATCTCTGATTCAATTAATGTGGCTTAAGGCATCATAGATTTGGCCCCAGAATGAACTTTACACAGAACCTAGGGTCACCTCCCTTGGAACAACTCCCAGCTGACTGAATGCCTCCCTCAAATGCTTCTAGTAACATTTATAAACTATAACTTGGATCCTGTTTAGACTTGTGATCTAGGATTAGGTGAATTCTACCACAGAGAAAGTCAAGATTCAAAGGTAATTAAAGTGTGCTCTGCCTTTTCTGTTCGTAAATGATGGTATACATTTGCTAAAAGGAGGGTGGAATTTATATTAACTCTTTCAGAAATGATACATTTTATACAGTTATTATAACTATGTATAATAAACTGGTATGTAATTCTTCAGTAACTGGGCACAGATAGTTTATGTATTCCATTATTTTTTGCATAGATCTAGTCCTTTTATTTTAGAAGTGATTGTGATTTGCTCAGATATAACAATTTCAAAACTAAAATGAAATTATGCTAAAGACATTATTTTAACTACTTGTCTGTGTAACAGCATATTTTTATTCTCTTGTTGTTCTGTGTTTATATCTGAATTTAAAAAAAAAAACTTCATATGAATATTATTTTCAACTTATTTTCTTATTTCAAACTTGGATAAGTTTGTTCATTGATAACCACTAAATTTATGAATACATGCACTACATTCTCATGTTCCCAGTTTTCTGAAGAGTTGTTATTTAATATGTTCTAACACTGTTTTATTTCCCTTATTTCAGCACCTACTAAAAAAGAGGAAAAGAAGGAAGGTATGTTTTATGCAGAGTTCCATTATACTTTTTGTGTGGACAAGTTACCAAAAGTCACAGTGGAAGTTTGACTGCCGGCTTGTCTGTATTTACTTTGGATCTATTATGTGCATACATTTTGTGTGACTATGTTTTTTCTACATCTCCTCACACTAAAGGGTGAACCACTTTTTTAAACAGTAATTTTAATTTAATCTTTCTCAATGTGTAGGAGGTGAAACACCATCTCTCAAAATCTTGGGCCTTCTATTTCATTAGAAATTTTATTAAATGTCAAAAATATGTAAAATATAGACCAATTTTCTCATAGCAACTACTTGTATCTGTGACACTGACAAGTGACTGATGTTACTTTGTTCTATTAAGTTGCAAATAAGTCATAATCCATCCCTTACACTCCACCTCTCTTTGTCAAGATGTCTTGATATGGAGTCATTTATTCCCTGTTGCCAAAGAGAGACTTCACCTGATGGACTTAAATGGGCAAGGAAGACTTTATTCCAGACTGCTGCAAAGCAGTCAAGTGTGTTTACAGTAGGAGAAATTGAACTCTCAACTTTAACTCTCAACTCCTACTTGGGGTAGGAGCTAGTCAATGTGATGAGGCCATCTAGATTTCCTAATTGCTGCCTGGGAAATTAGGCTCCTGCCCTTCCTCAGAGACTGGCATACAGGACTGTGCATCTCCTTTGATGATTATATTTCAAAGTGATATCTTACAGATCTTGAGAAAGGTATTTCTGGTTGTAAAAGATTTATGTTTCAAAAGGACAGAGAAAGAATTTACAATTTTCTAAAGTAAATGCTCTGATGGAAGGGAGGTCAGGGGCCTGTAGTCAAGAAGGACACTGTCTAAACTTTATTCAAGCTGAGGAGAGTATTAAGGCCCTCTAAATCTCTGTGATTCTATTTAGAGATGTTTCTAATGCACATCCTGACTACTCTTAGACAGGGTTTCTAGATATCACCCCTGTTCATTAATCTAGGCTTATTTTCTCAGCGAAAAATCACGTGTAGAGAGAAGCAATCCCTTCTGACTTTGAAAATGACAGTTATATTCTAATTAGTGTTCATCTGATCTGAGAAAAATAAGAAAAGTGTTATATTTTAAATTTAGTATCATCAGAATTTTACATAGTCATAATAACTTGGGGGTCACATTCTACTTCTGTTAAACCAGAATCTAAGAGTCGATAGATCTAAGAAGGAGAAACTGTTTTAGTTGGTTATTACTATTACATAGTATCATCATAAACTAATACATATTAATGTACTTATTTTCAAGGCATATAAATCAGTATACATATACACAGGAAATATTTCAATGCATTTTGGGAATTATATCATTTATATGATCAATGTTGTGGCGTGTATACAGAGATCTTACCGGAAAAAAGAGTAAGTTCCTGACACAGCTTTTGACAGACATTAGAGCAGAGAGGCACAAGGAAGATGGTCTCATAGCAAGTCCTCAGAGGCTCATCCCCTTACATTCTAGAAGGACACAAGGCATCCTGCCAGACTTAGAATTAGCTGTGGCTCAGACCTTTGCCTGAATGGCATGTATACCTAGAACAAAAGTTACCAGGGCACCGTAGTGGAGCCTATGTCCTATACTCTCACCCACTTCCTTCCTTTAAGCATTATGTATTTTATCTATAGTAAACCACTTTCAGTGTTACAGATACAATGTGCTGCTGTTGTTCCTGCTGTTTTCATAATAGATCTTGCCCTTGCCTTTTCCTTCTATGGATGCTCAGTGTTTTTAGGGCTCAAGATAAATTCTCTTTCCTCTGGAGTGTCTGATCCTCCCAATTAAATATTTTTTCTCTTTCATTTATAGTCTCCCTTCAGAGTTTATGTGCACCTCCTTACTATTCTTTACCTTATGCTCCTTGTACTTCTTCTTATTTGCGTCATTATCATTCTATTCTAATTGACTTTAAGTCTTTGACTAAAGGGACCATCTCTAATTCACTTTTATCCCCTACAGGGACTAGCACATTTCCTTAGTTTTTACATTATTCAACAAATATTTATTATGTGAATGAACCAGTAATATCTAGGAATCTTAAGATAAATATTGTAGCCACAAGAAATATGAGCAGGCACTCAAATTTTCACAATGCAGACAAGGAAGGATTTTTTTTTTTTTCAATTGGGAGTTATAAGAAAAAGGTCAAGTATCAGATTGAGGAACAAAGTTTCCATTTCAGTTCAGTCACTCAGTGGTGTCCAACTCTTTGCGACCCATGGACTGCAGCACGCCAGGCTTCCCTGTCCATCTCCAACTCTTGGAGCTTGCTCAAACTCATGCCCATTGAGTCGGTGATGCCATCCAACCATCATCCTCTGTTGTCCCCTTCTTTTCCCGCCTTCAATCTTTCCCAGCATCAGGGTCTTTTCCAGTGAGTCAGTTCTTCGCATCAGGTGGCCAAAGTGTTGGGGTTTCAGCTTCAGCATCAGTCCTTCCAATGAATATTGGAGTGATTTCCCTTAGGATGGACTGTTTGAGCTCCTTGAAGTCCAAGGGACTCTCAAGAGTCTTCTGCAACACCACAGTTCAAAAGCATCAGTTCTTCAGCACTAAGCTTTCATTATAGTCTAACTCTTACATCCATACATGACTACTGGAAAAACCACAGCATTGACTATATGGACCTTTATAGGCGAAGTAATGTCTCTGCTTTTTAATATGCTGTCTAGGTTTGTCATAGCTTTTTTCCCAAGGAGCAAGCATCTTTTAATTTCATGGCTGTAGTCACCATCTGCAATGATTTTGGAACCCCCCAAAATAGTCTGTCACTGTTTCCATTGTTTCCCCATCTATTTGCCATGAAGTGATGGGACCAGATGCCATGATCTTTGCTTTGTGAATGTGGGACTTATATTACACTGAGCTTTTTAGGTCTAGGAATTTGCTAGTCAATTTTTAACAATTTGGGGCTTCCCAAATGGTGCAGTGGTAAATAATCCACCTGCCAATTCAGGAGATACAAGAGATGTGAATCTGATTCCTGGGTCAGAAAGATCCCCTTGAGTAGGAAATAGCAACCTGCTATAGTATTCTTACCAGGAAAATTCCTTGGACAGAGGAGCCTGGTGGGCTACAGTCCATGGGATCACAGAGTTGGACATGACTGATCACACACACACAACACACACATTAACAATTTTATCTTAAGCATATATTGTCTCTAGCTGCTACTTGAGTTGCACTAGCAGATCTAGATAGATCTCATTCATCTAACATCTGCTTCACTGATGAAATTCTAGGGGCTGGAAAACCTGTTTCAACACAGGTTATGTTCTGAAGGATACAGCTCCATTGAGAACTAGCCAGATAAGATTTATTATTTACTGTAATTAGGGCAAGACTGAATAGAGTTGAACGCATGTGAGAATTAGTCCTAAGTTCTAGGACTGCATCATTGAAATTTGAAGAGGAGCCATGCTTAAAAACAATGCAAAGTCTCTGATATTGTAATTGAATAAGGATGTCAATTGGCAAGTTCCATACACACACACTCACAAATGGTATACTTCATTACCTGGTTTATTAGCCTATCAGAGAGTTAGTTTTTCCCTTCAATCCCAATTGGAATTTCATTTTTCTCTGGCATCATTATGAACATAATAGAGCATACCTGATACACGGCTAAAGTTGAGTGAGTGATGAACAGATTGCAAATACATCAGTGCTTTTAAATCACAGCTGCTGTGGGCCTTTATGTTCTTACTAGAAGATTGTTGTTCAGATTATTGGGCAGATGGCCTATAGGGAGATATATTCAGCAAGTAAGTCTTTATAATATTTTAAGCCATCTCAGCAGGATGCTGAGAGAGCATAATGAAGTTTAATAACATGAGTATTGAGGCCTGGTACTAGGCTCTTCAGGGTCAATATGTGATCTTCCAGTTTCAAGCATTGTATTTTTGGTTTCTTGGGTATTTACTTATATAAATCTGCTGCTCTGTTGACTCCTAACCAAAAGACTTGTAATTATGATGACATTTTAAGTACATTTTACTGTAGCTCCCAGTTCTCACAGCAAATATATTGAATTCTTTAAAGACCAGCTTGATTAGATCAATCAATGAGATTGATCCAGTTAGATAAAAAATAACATGACTTGTTATTTTTTACATTTCTATTTCATGAAATATTTTTCTGTGTTTCAGTAAGTTATATACTTTACCTGACCCTGGAGTTCATATTATTTTGTTTCTTTTTTTACAGAACAATTGATATCTAATACAATATTTTATTGGGGCTTCCCAGGTGACGCTAGTGGTAAATATCCTGCCAATCCAGGAGACTTAAGACATATGGGTTAGATTCCTTGGTTGGGAAGATCCCCTGGAGGAGGGCATGGCAACTCACTCCTGTATTCTTGCCTGGAGAAGCCCATGGACAGAGGAGGCTGGCAGGCTACACAGTCCATAGGGTTGAAAGAGTTGGACAGTGTAAGTGAAGTGACTTAGCACACACAATATTTTATCTATTCTTACTACCAGAGAAAAGGAAAACAGATTAAAAACAATGGGAATTCTAGACTTACCCACACTGTATTAAGCTTTTCAACCCTACCCCATGCCGGCATCTAGTTTAAAAACAGAGGGACTGAAAATAATCTAGTTCTAATAAGCCCATTTTATCCTCTATCTGTTCTACCTTTCTTCCCCAGCTTTATCTTCACTTGCAGTTCTGAATGACATGTGCCCACCATAATCTTTCTGTGACTTGCGTTAGGATGTACTCTGGGCTCAAAAGATTGCTCGATGAGGATCACAGGACCTCTCAGGGAGGAATCCTATTCCAGTATGCTGGAGCCAAACTAGTTAATAATTCATTTTGACCATTGAACTGTTCACTTCACACTTTCAGCTCATGTAATATAAGAATATATGTCTCCAAATAGAACTGACATTGTAGCTAAATATACAAGTAAAATGACAAATGGCATTTATTGCATTTTTGTATGGAGTCGTTTATGTAATATTTGTCTAGTATTTGAATTACCTACTTACCTAATTAGGGTATTTACTCATGAAGGAAATGAATAAGAAATTGCTTGCAGAGCACATTTGTTTTAGGTCACAAATTTCACCCACTTCATTATACTTCCTGGTGAGAAACTGAATAGCAAGAAAAAGATTGGTTTTTGAGGGTGAAGTGGCAGGTATTAAGAAAAATTGAGTCAAAAATTCTTTTTACTAATGATGCTAAGCACAGTGGTGTTTTAATAAATATTTACTCAATAAGTAAGTGTATAGTTTCAAGGATATATTGCTTAAAAATAAGGTTTGTTTTTCTCTTATACATGAAATATAACCCTCTTACAGAAAAAATAGAAATTCAGAAAGAAGTTGCAAAACATCATTTTAATGACTGTAGTTTTCAATTATGTGTATATACTATGAATCCCTTGAACCATTCTCCTACTCTATGGAGGGTACTGATTAATATTCTCATTATTTAGAAGTATAAAACAGTGTCGGAAACAAAGAATCTTTCTATGAGATAGGTTTGCATTTTTCTCCTTGGAAATCTATAAGTGAAATTATTGCTTTGGAAAGCATGCTCATTTTAATCACTTTCTATATTTTTTTTCCCAAGTTGCTCTACTAAAATGTGTTTTCATCTTTCTACTTCTATGGAATTAGATTATTATTTTCACCACACTATTTCTGTTGTTGATTATCATTTTATCATAAAACAATTCAGTTGACCATCTAACTGCCTTTTGTGAACAGTCTCCTACTCACTGTCATCTTCAAACATTTTAGGTCCATTTGTAAATACAATCATAATCTGTCTATATCACCAAAAAGCACACAAATCCATTAACTAGCCAAAATGTTAGTAAATATTTGTTGCTGTAGGTTCTAAGCCAAATAATTGTCAGCCAGAGAACAGTTTACCTATCTTTTGCAAGTGCCAATTCATTGTTCATTATTATTATTCTATTTTCAGTAATATTCAGAACATTCCAAAGCTAAGTTACAGAAAAGGTAAAAGAAAGAAAATAGAACAAAATATTCTAAACAAAAATTTAAGGTGCCTCTATCCCCCCAAAAAAGAAAGAAAGATGCTTCCATCCTAAAATATAGAGAAGGAATTGGCCACCCACTCCAGTATTCTTTTCTGGAGAACCCCATGGATAGAAGAGCCTGATGGGCTAGAGACCGTGGTGTCGCAAGAGTTGGAAATGACTTAGGGACTGAACAACAATCCTAAGATAAACATGTTTTTAAAAACTTGCTTTTAATTTCAAGTGATAGGAACAGATAGTTTCATGGTATAAATACTGGAAATAGTAAATTTCTCAGATATAGGCTGAATACCCAAAAGACTAAAAACTAAAGAGATGACTTTTGATCACTGAATGCACATTACTACATAGCAATTACTAAGTCGATTTTGTGTTCTTCAGTAACCCATGAGCCATCATCTCCTGTTTCTTTTCATTATAATAGGAGTCATTTCATGTTTGTATTGAAGATACATCAGTTGAAGGAGAGTACTGTGCATTTCACCTAGATTGCTGTAGATTGAACAAATGAAGAAATTGCCAACTAAAGTCAGGGATTCCAAACCATCTCTACTGAAATAGTATATCTACTCAATTTGACTATTTATTAAAAGATCATCAGCTTTGATAGATATATGTACTTTCTTTGTAAATTACATATGAATATCTTCCTTCATATTTTTCTATATTTTATTCGTCTGAAGTTTCTAGTTTCTCACTTCCTACCTTATCCTAATAATCCTCCTCTCAAAAATACAATAATTTCTCTTTAAACCCCATGTTCTAGAAATACATCATGCAATCAATCCATTTCATTGAAAATTATTTCAGAGCATATGAACATTTTGATGTGCACTTATCAGTTGTTGATTTTTCTTGTCTGCTTTATCAATAATTTATATTTGTGTTTTCAGATTCCAAGAAAACGAAAACACCTACAGAAGGTATTGGGAATATTTCCTTTTTCTGTCTTATGTTTAATGAACCCCAAGCAGAATTCCTTTTTAAAGGATTCCCATGAAAGAAAAAAATATATATGGGATTAAAAAGAGAGAGAGAGAAATATTGAGAAAGAAAAAGAGTCGAGTCTTTACTGACAATAATTCTATGAAAAATAATTGGCAGTAATAAAAATAAATACTGCATATGCTTGCTTTTCATATTAATTATTTTCAAAGAAATGTTTGCTGGCCAAGAAATTGAGCAATGTTCAGTATCAAGCATTTATTTTGCTAGAAAGCATAGATTTAATTAATCTTGGATATACCATCATCAATGAAACTGAATCATTTAAGTCTTGAAGAGAATGATAAACTATTGGCAAGTATACATGTGTCCTCTGTATGTGTTTATGTGTACAGAATGTTTATATGTTCACATGTATTTAAAAAGACTACAATATATAATTCTTTTAAATGATTAAACAGTATCATCTTAGATCCATTGTCAAATAATGCTTTACAGTCAACTTATGGAAACACCTATAATAGTCAGCAATACCTCAGGTCAACACTTAACTGAAATTTAAGGGGAGAGAATGGGGGAGGGATTGAAAAAATTAAAATCAAATCAGTGTCTTGGGGGAGTATATTTTATCTTTGACAATTTCATGAGCAATGGTTTTCTATTTATATTTCTTTCAACAGAACTACCCAAGGGAAAAAGTAAGGAAATGCATGCAAAGTATATATTTTTTTCTATTTACTTACAACTAATGGCTTGCTGTTATCCTTAAACTTGTGGTTTTGGATCTTCCTTTTCTATGTTTTATGCATGGGGACTCTATTTTTGTCAGAATGAAAGAGTGTACAACCTGGGGAGGGGCTGGTCAGAGTGAACTGAAAAGCATGGCACTCTTATTTCTTTGAGTCCTGTTCAAATCCATGCAGTCGTCTAATAATATCCACTGTCATCACCAAAAAATATAACTTTGTTCCATTAACCTAAAGGGTATTATATTACGTTAGTGTAAACATAATCTCTGCAATCTGGTTAGTTCTGTAGTTAGAAAATAGAAGGGAAATTCTTTTTCAGGCTAGATTTACAGTCGCTTTTCTGCTTGTTTTCTTCTTGTAATCCATAAATATTTTGGTATGTTCACATGATGTATGACATTTTGTCCATAAAATGATTCTTTTTCCCTATAAGCACTATGAGCTCTGTGAAACTGCATTGTTTAGGATGCATAACTTAGGCAACACCCAGTGTTGCTTTAAGACATATTATTAAAGCTCGCTTGCCGACAGTTCAGTAAAGCTTGGTGCTTTGAGGTTGTATCTTTTGCAGATGTATACTCTTCTCTGAAGATATGGGGTATGTTGAACAAACAGAAACAAAAATTACCAATTTAATCCTGTTCAATTAGCCATTAAAAGCCATCAATTTCCCAGTATGTAGCACTTTAAAAATTCTAGGAGAAATTAAAAACATATTTAAAAATATATACCAATTAAAAAAAAGATTTATGTGCACTTTGGTCTGGCAACAGTTAGGGCATTGAGACTTCTTAAGTCCTAACAGTGCTCTAGAAAGTCCTGGGAAGAGAATCGTGAAATGGTACCGCAGCTCGGCCAGGGGGAGCAGTCTGTCCACAGAGGAGTTTGTGGTCCTTCGGTCCTGGATTTCTCTGTGGGCACAGCAGCTGCTGGGCAGCGGCACAGTGATGTGGAAAACACTCTGTACACCGCTTCTCCAGCAGGGGAATGGGGACACCCGGAGATCTGAAAAATGGTATTAAGTGACATATTTATGTAACCTTAAGGCACTCACTTTATTACAGTCTGTGTGATTTAAAAGTTCCCACAGACACTGCAACTTCTTGATGATCTTCAGATTATTGATATATTTGATAAATAAACATGCCTTCCCAGACATCTGTTTAGCATCCTAACTGTCTCTATCCTTGGGAAGTTCTGTGGGTTGTGACTTGGACAGTAATAAGGACAGGAAAAAAGAGTTTTCCTCCATATAAATTAGCTTATTTGCTCTAGTTTATCATCTGGACCTGCTTTTGTTGTTCTTATTGTCATATTTATTTATTGGATTTAGTGACTTTTTTTTTACTTCAGGATTACTTTATTCAGTTATACTTCTCCAATACTATATTCTTATTTTGCTATAACCACAACTTGTTGGTTATTTATTTTGTTTGGTTTTTCAGTTTAATACAAATCATGGTAGAGGAAATGGGGAAAGTGTACATGGGACCTTCCTGTATATAGTTTTGTCAATTCTAATGACAATTTTTAAAATATTTTTTCAAAATGAAAAGTAAAAAAAATTAAGAATCAATTGTAAATATGATTTCACAGTCCCTGTAGATATAATGGTAAATTAATTTGTATTTATTAAGACAATTCCATAATTACATCTTGATTATCCCATATAACAAATGCTCAACAGCCTTTTCCTCCATATCATCCCAAATTAACACAGGTGTTTTTCTGCTTACAGAATAATATTCTGATATGATTGGAAGACCTTTATTTTAACTTTGAAATCTCACAGATAGCTCATAATCGATTTTGATGCATACCCAAATCTGCTTCCAGTATTTTTTTATTGTTATCACTTTAGAAAGTTCTTAGAAATATTTTTGTAGTTGGTGGTTCAGCTCAGCAATAAATTAAGCAATGCATTTAATTACTCCATGTTTTCCAGACAGTTTTGGGGAATGTTCTTAATTGTGTTGTTAACTAAGTCACCTGTGCTTCTTCCTTTTGACTTGTAACATTTGGTCAAGCCATTCGTTTTATTTGTTTTATTGTCTGCCTGCTATCTTGGGAGTGGCTAAATCACTCATTATACCGTCACAACTACAAGGCTGGTAAACAAAACTGTATACTTGAGAGATCGATGTGATGACCTTAGGAAATTTGATGACACTCTATGTTTCTAAAATAAAGTTCTAAGAACTCTTTCAGCGTAAACATCTTCTAGTCTCAAAAATAAATGCACTAAATAAAACTTAAAGAAATCTCATTCTTTTTCTTAAAAAAATCAGATATTAATGTGTCTATGTTAAAGCATTTGACAATCATTTAAGTTAACTTGACAAGCTCATCAAGGCAAAATAAGTAAGAATAGAAATGTAGATAATAGCACTTCATATAAAATTAGTACCTGCACTTCATATAAAATTAGTGCTTATTTTAATATAAATGTCAGCTTAATCTTGAGGCCAGAATAATGCTTTGTCTCATATAACACTGGCAAAAGTGGGTTCTTAAAAAGAAACAGTCTGAAAAGGACTCTGTAAGAAGCATTTGTCCTAAAAACAAGGGAATTGTGTTGTGCTTCTTCCTGAAAATTCTTAGTCTATTTTTAGTGCCTTAAATCTGCCTCAGCAAAGCCTTTGTCTTAGCTAAACAAATATCTTTTCAATACAAGAAAATTTCACCTTATAATAAAAAGTCCAGAGGAAATCTGTTCATCCTTATCTGAGGATTATTTTAAAGCAACTGCAATAATTATCCTTATTGCTTACTTTTTATCCCAAATTTATTTCATATTGATCTAGTCAGTAAGAAAATTTAAACTTTTTCCATCCTTTATAGACCTTATGATATCTTTCTAGATTCTTATCCATGAAAAATTTTAATTCCTCTCATATTCAGAATATCTTTATTGCTGTTCTATGAGGAAAAACTGAGGAGAAATGGAAAAACTTATTTTAAATATACGTCGATATTAATCTTCATGGCAGCTATTATTGGTTCAATACTGCGCTAGTACATGTATGTGTCTTTGTCTTAGAACAATTAAGTTGGAAAATAAAATTGGAGTAATAATAATAAAGCAAAAATAATGTATTTCAGAACAGGAAAAGAAAGAAAAACACTTGGAACCAGGTAACTTTTTAAATTCCTCCATCCTCTTAATTTTGAGATATAAATTTGCAGTTGAATGCTGAAATGCCATCAAATAGCATGGAATGTTAATTTTTTTTCTTTTCTTGTTTGATTCAGCAAAGTCACCAAAGAAGGAACAGTCAGGTGAGTCAGACTGGGGCTGCAGGGGTCTTTCTAGCCGATGTCCAGGCTTTATTAATGCTGCGGCCTCAGACAGCGGGTAAGGGCCGAGACAGGGGGAAAGGGCAGGAAATCCTTCCATCTTATGAGATGTCATTTTTCCATGCTCTGGACATAGAGTTAATGTCAAGGCCATGTACGAAAATGGAAGTGATATGTTACATTCTTGCTACTCAGTGTGTGTTCTGTGAACCAGCTGTGTAAGGGTCTCCTGAGAGATTGTTAGAGATGCAGAATCTCTGGTCCCAGGCCAGACCCACTGAATTAGAATCTGCAACTTCCTAACATCCCCAGTGGATTTGTCAATGCAGTGTGTGAGAAGCCCTGTTATAGTCTAGTGTAAAAAACAAAAATAAAAGCAAAACCCTTCCTGTAAATGCATCTGATATTGCTTTGTTTTTAAATATGAAATATTTAATTCTAGCAGATATTCTCAAAAATGTCCTTTATTGACACATCTTGAGTACTCAGGGTAGTTGCAGTGAGAGAAATAGATTATGTCTTCAATCTATTTACATTTGAATGAGGGGGAAAAAACGAATTGAGAATCAGACAAGCGGAAAAACACACATACAAACAAACAAAAACTAAGAATTCAGTACCTGTAGATATCAAATGATTTTCTTAAAGTTTCTGGGCATTTAACTTGCCCTATCTGTTGTTTCAAATGAAAACAAATGTATTTCCTGATGAAGGAACTTTAATGATCTGTGTGTGTATGTGTGTAGGTAATCATAGCCTCATATAATGTCCATTAGTCACTCCTCCCCTCATAATATATTTAAATGGAAATAGCATTTACGTTAGTGATACATTAAAATAAAAATTGGGTTCCCCAGGTGGCATTAGTGGTAAAGAACCTGCCTGCCAATGCAGGAGATGTAAGAGACTCAGGTTTGATCCTTGGGCTGGGAAAAAACCCTGAAGGAAAGTACAGCAACCCACTCCAGTATTCTCACCTGGAAAATTCTATGGCCAGAGGAGCCTAGCTGGCTGTGGCCCAGAGGGTTGCAGAGTTGGACCCGAATGAAGTGACTAACACATGCACAAAATAAAAACTGCAATATTATGTAAACAACCAGGCAAATCTACTAAATTACTTCTACCCCTATCACAAACCACAGCAAGTCAGATTTGAAACCACATTTCCTATTCTTCTTTCAGGTTTGTAAAACATCCTCAGCAAACCCAAATCATTTAGGTGATTCTCCAACTAGTTCCCATGGCATCATTTTATTTTTCATATAAAAACACTTAACATACTTCTATGATCATATTACCTTTTCTATTTCCCAGTTTAAATAGAAATTAAAAGATGAGGATCATTTTTTATATCTTTATCCCCACAGTGCCTATTATAATGTCAGGAACATTTTAGACACTTGATAATGTTTGATTGGATGAAAAAAATATCAAATATGATATATTTTTGAAAAAAACATAAACATGAATAACTCTTAAATAATTTATAATATGTAATAATCTCACTTTCACCACACTAGGTATTCCAGGGTAACGTTCCCACCATTTGGCCATAACATATATTCTTACTTGTATACATATGCAGAAAGTTAAATTAGAGCATACATCAGAGAGATATAAACATGGAGAGACATGAAGAATGATGACGGGTGTAATCAGTTTTAAGAGTTTTAATAACTAAACATTATTATCTAATATTTGACAAAATGCAGTAATCTAAATTTCTTGAAATTTTTTCTTGCAACTATTGGGTAATTTATTGATTCATTTTCTTCTTTTCATACCATTTTGTAGACTTTAAGGAAACTGCATTGGCTTATATATAAAATCAATCAGATTCTTATGTAATTTAAAATGGAAAACAAAATGAATGAGTCATGAATGAGCATTCTGTGTTGGAAGAAGGTATATGAATAGCAGAAATCCGTGGTTCATGAAAGTAAAAATGAAAGTTGCTCAGTCCTGTCCAACTCTTTATGACCCCATGGACTATACAGTCCATGGAATTCTCCAGGACAGAATACTGGAGTGCATTGCCTTTCCCTTCTCCAGGGGATCTTCCCAACCCAGGGATCGAACCCAGGTCTCCCTCATTGCAGGCAGATTTACCAGCTGAACCACAAGGGAAGCCCAAGAATACCAGAACTGGTAGCCTATCCCTTCTCCAGGGGATCTTCTGGACCCAGAAATCGAACCAGGGTCTCCTGCATTGCAGGCAAATTCTTTATCAACTGAGCTATCAAGGAAGCCTTAATATATTTAAAATTTAAGAAAATAGCACAACATTATATGTTCTTTTTCTCAGATATACTTTTTTCTTTAGTTTACAAGGCTATAATATAGTCTTTTTAAAAATGAAAATAACTGTAAAACTATTTTAGAGAGACCCAAGGAGACTTATAACTGATTTAGAACTTATTATTTTTTTTGTCCTTAACAGCTCCAAGTGAAAAACACATTAAAGCAAGTATGTTGACTAAAACTTGAAAAAACAAAAAGCATATTTCAGCAGCTTACTCATTTAACTTTCTGCTTAGACAACGCTAATGCTAATTTTTAAGGCTGACTTACCAAATGTTCCTTGCTCTGATTATGTGTTGTGTTAAACAAATATGCATACTTACTCAACCTTGTATGTTTTGTGAATCAGTTCTTAAGATTTACCTACAGAACTTTCATTTGTAAATGTTAATTTGTCTAGATCATAACATCTTTTGGAATCATTTGTATTTTTGTTTCCCATTGTACGAATGATAAGTGATCTTTTCAGTTTTTTTAAACATAATAGGCAATTTTCCTAATGGTTAATCACTTGATCAAACCAGGAGGCAACATAATTTGTCTACCAGTGAAAGTTATTGTGTCTTTAATGAAATGAAACTCCCTACAATTTTATTAATTACTCCTACAATATCATAATTTTTTAAAGCTTTTATCCTCAAAATTTTTTAAATTTATATATTTTTAATTGAAGGATGATTGCTTTACAATATTGTTAGTTTCTGCCATACATTAACATATATCAGTCATAAGTATACATATGTCCCCTCCCTTTTGAACCTTAGATTTTTAATAACTATCAACTGGTAGCTGTAACATACTGTGGCATTTGCATCTATGAAATTTTGACAATGCACTAAAGAATAAATGCTTTTTTCTTTGTTGGTATTTCTCAATTAGATGAAGTATCTAACAGATTGTCATTAATGACAATTATTTTAGGAAAAATGGTGTGTGAGCGTAGAAAAAAATATGCTTTCAGCTTCTCTAAACTTTGTCTTAGATCAAACCACATTTTTATGCATTGTGTAAATATGTTTATATTTTCCTGTGATTTAGAGTTACATAAGTATTAACGATAGTACTAGTACAAAAAGAGAATACATGTTTTATTTACTGCCAGGTTTTTGAGACAGAGTATGTCACTGGTGAATATATCAGAGAAAAATGGAAGATATAATGTTGTGTAGCTTGGTGTCTTTTTAAAAATTACAGTTGAAAGTGTTTACATAGACATTTTAGACCTTAAGGAAAGGTGTAACATGAATCTAAATTCCACTTATGTTTTCATGAAAATTTTTACTTGAATATAAGCTGATTAGAACTTCGTATTACTGAGTATTTAGTATGCTAATACTCAGTCTGTAGAAATGCATAATCAAGAAAATATATAAAACAAAATTGATAATTTTGCTGCAGTGATTCAGAACTTTAGATTGGAGATTACTCTGAAAATGAACATTTTCTTCCTAGGAAAATGTGACATTTAGATAAAAATACTCTTTTGCAATGAAAAAAAAATTCTGTAAGTTCTGCTATCTATGAAACACTATCCAATCAAGTTTTGAAGAGATCAGCATCTTTTGCAGGAAATTAGCAAATTTAGCTTGCCAAATCATCTTAGACTCAATGTAAAAGTCTCAAAAGAATTGATATCCATTTACTTGTATAGCTGAATGATTGAACTTGACATAGGCATTATCTCCCAGTATAGAAGTTAATTAAAAACAATTCATAAATTATTTAAAATCTCTGCTAGCAACGTGACCGTCCATTTCCCCAACTAAGAACTTGGTTTTGTTTGTTTGTTTGTTTTGGGGTTTTTTTGGTCTTGAAACCACACAACAGAAGAATATTTCCATAGCTTCCATATATGGTGAGCTATTTATAAAGTTAATGCCTAAGTCATCTCATTACAAATAGTATTGAAAATTCCTTCTGTTACTCACAAAGTGTGGGCCACATAGTATTGTGTATATAATCTGAATATTCAGGATATGATTTTACATTATCTTAAATTATGAGAGCAAGTGAGCAAGTGAGATGTATAGTTTAATATAAATTAAGTATTTATGGGATAATTGAATTAACAAGGGAAGGTGAGATTGACAGGACAAGTGCAAATCTATGGAAAAAGTAAAAGGTAATTTGTCTTCAGCACTCAAAGGAAATAACTAGAATGTGAGTTGAATTTGAGGTGTAAAATTATTTGTTCTAGGTCCTAAGGAAATCAAGATTAGTATAAGAAAAACACTGGAGGACATAGACTAGTTTAGAGCTATATCACTACAGGGTGGATGTTCTCATGGTGTCATGAGCTTGAAGAAAAGAGAAATCATTCTGGTTCAGTGATGTAGCATGCACTACGGAAGGGCACTTACTGCCTCCACGTGTAAAGTTATGCATCAGTGATTATGTGGATGGAGGAGAAGTGCCTTATACCAACAGAGATGCCAAACCTAGATTTACAATTTCTGCAGGTCGATAAAAGATTCCATTATAATTGTTATTGTTCAATCACTAAGTTGAGTCTGACTTTTTGTGACCCCATGAACTGCAGCACACCAAGCTTCCTTCTCCTTCACTATCTCCCGGAGTTTGCTCAGACTCATTTCCATTGAGTTGATGATGCCATCCAACTATCTCATTCTCCGTTGTTCTCTTCTCCTGCCCTCAATCTTTCCCAGCATCAGGGTCCTTTCCAGTGAGTCAGATCTTCACATCAGGTGGCCAAAATATTGGAGCTTCAGCTTTAGCATCAGTCCTTTCAGTGAATATTCAGGACTGATTTCCTTTAGGATGGACTGGTTGGATCTCCTTGCAGTCCAAGGGACTCTCAAGAGTCTTCTCCAACACCACAGTTCAAAAGCATCAGTTCTCCAGCACTCAATCTTTATGGTCCAACTCTCACACCTGTACACGACCACTAGAAAAGCCATAGCTTTGCCTAGATGGACCTTTGTTGGCAAAGTAATGTCTCTGCTTTTTAATATGCTGTCTAGGTTTGTCATAGCTTTTCTTCCAGGGAGCAATAGTCTTTTAATTTCATCAGTGCTATCGCCATCTGCAGTGATTTTGGAACCCAAGAAAAAAAGTCTGTCACTGTTTCCATTGTTTCCCCATCTATTTTTGCCATGAGTGATGGGACCTAATGCCATGATCTTCGTTTTTTGAATGTTGAGTTTTAAACATTTTTAAACAGCTTTTTAACAGCTGTTTTAAACAGTTTTAAACAGCTTTTTCACTCTCCTCTTTCGCCTTCATCAAGGGACTCTAGTTCCTCTTCACTTTCGGCTATAAGGTCGTATCCTCTGCATATCTGAGGTTATTGATATTTCTCATGGCAATCTTGATTCCTGCTTGTGATTAATCCAGCCCGGCATTTCACATGATGTACTCTGCATATAAGTTAAATAAGCAGGAGGACAATATACAGCCTTAACGTACTCCTTTCCCAATTTTGAACCAGTCCATTGTTCCATGTCTGGTTCTAACCATTGCTTCCTGACCTGCATACAGATTTCTCAGAAAACGGGTAAGTTAGTCTAGTATTCCCATCTCTTTAAGAATTTTCCACAGTTTATTGTGATCCACATAGTCAAAGGCTTTAGCATAGTCAATGTAGCAGAAGTAGATGTTTTTCTTCAAATTCTTTTTTTTTTTTCCTACAATGCAAAATGTTGGCAGTTTGATCTCTGGTTCCTCTGCCTTCTCTAAATCCAGTTGTACATCTGGAAGTTCTCAGTTCAAGTACTATTTAAGCCTAGCTTGAAGGATTTTGATCTTTAGCTTGCTGGCATGTGAAATTAGTACAATTGTGCCGTAGTTTGAACATTCTTTGGCATTGCCTTTCTTCGGGATTGGAATGAAAATTGACCTTTTCCATTTTCATACTGCATTAAAAAAATGCCTCAACACACCCAGTTCTCCTTCCTGCAGTCCACTGCACATCCCCCCCAACTCCTTACCACCACATTGGATAATGTTATAGGGGTTAATAATATGACTACTTATTTTCAAGAAGGAAGGGAGTGAAACAAGTAGATTTTTAGCTGCAGATCTTTTACACTACTCTTGGTGATCAAGAGGGAATATACTTGACAGTGCTTAGCAAATACATTAGACATCACTCTCTTTTTCCAAAAGAACACTTCAAGGACCAGTATTCTTCAAACCTTTGTAAAGTACTGCCATACATTGATTTATTCCTCTTATCAAGGACAGCAGGGCTTTGATAATAGTTTCTTGTGCATATTTGATCAGCCTGTGGTCAGTTTGAATTATGAGTAAAAAAGATACCAAAGACCCAGATCAGAGCCAAAGTCTAGTTATTTTTAATTGTGGGTCTAAATTTGAATTAAATAACAACAATCAGGAATTTTTCATTTCTTGGTTTTAGCACCACACTGGATTTTTGTGTTATGCTCAACCACCAAGCCTGACTCTGCTTATCACCTTAACTACATTTCAATACCTACATGTGTGAGTCACACAACTGCACACATCTATCTCTTGATCTACCAATATATGTCATGATCTTCCAGGAGTATCCAGTATGCAGAATTTAAAACCTAAGTGCCTTTGAATTTATTCAAATATATGATACTAGAAGACTATTTGGGAACAGCTGATATTACTTAGAAAGTGACATGGATTTTTTACTCAATTTTAATATTCTGTCATGGAAATTGCTGGGGAAAAAGATCTATAGGCCTGACCTAGTAGATCTGATATCAGTGAGATGTGTCTAGACCACAGGTTTCCTGTCCTATATGACACTGTATCTCAGTCATTTAGGGCAGACTGGGTTTATTTGTATTATTCCAGAATAATAATTACTAGAAACTCTTTTCACCTGCTTAGTTTGGATGATAAATTATATGATCACTACCCAAATCACATATGATGCTGCCTGATTGAACTTAAAATAGCACTGATACAATGCCAGGTGCTGGTTAGGGAATTTAAGTACCATAAAAACTAGACTGTGATAGACCTGGGACTGATTTAGATTGTAGGACAAGATGTGCTTCTTGTTTAATCCTACTTATAAAGCCACAGTTGGTGTCCTGGGTGCCATCCTGAAACTGGAAAATGTCATGGTTCGGAGCTTAAGAATATTCATCAAGTTTGGTTCAAAGAAAACCAAGCTAGATAAAGGAGTACTAGCAGAAGTAGAATCTGAGTTCAGTTTAGAACAAGAAAGCAGGGAGGAAGAGGAAAGAGTTTCAAAAGAGAAAATCAGAAATAAACTTTATGGAAGTATAATGAGTACAGCAAAATAACACTAAAATGTATGACTATTGAGACAAGTGCAATGTGACTTGAGTCTTATTAATAAAGCAATCTCTTGATATTGTGCTTTAAATGATAGCATGGTATTGGGGCAGATCTAAAGTTTTCCAGTAGGACAGGAACAAAAGAGACCTAAAACAATTCCACTTGATCAAAATCTGATGTAAGAAAAAACAGCCATTTCAATAGAGAATGAAGAGATTATTTTTGAGTCTTGCTGATGCAGTTGGTATTCATTGCAAAGAAGTAATTTATTCCTACTTTGTACAACTTCAAAATATCAATTCTGGATGGTTTAGAAATTGAACGAAACAGGCATTAAATAAGTATAGGAAGATATTTTTTATATTACTTTGAAATACTGTTGAATCTCAAAAATTACATGCAAATTCAAGTCATAAAAAGTTTAATATATTTTATTATATTAAAATTAAAGCCAATCAATAGATACCATAAAGAGATAAAAGACAAGCTACATATTTGGAAAAGATGTTTGTAGCCTGTATTAGTAACTAGAGATCAGTAGTGAAAAAAAAAAAACTCTAAAAAAGGACAAAGAACTTGATAGAATAGTGGGTAGAAAAAATGAATAAAAGATATAAGCAAGTATCAAAAATAAAATGAGAAAGACACAAAATGGCCTAAAAATATATCAAAATAGATTTAGTGTGTTAATAATAATGAAAATTTTCTTAAAATCACAGTAATACAATTTTACACATATCAAATTGACCCCATTACAAAAATGGAGGAAAATGTTCATTCTGGTGATGGTTATGCTATGAAACAATAGAAACTCTTACATATACTGTTGTTATGAATGTAAAACTTTGGAAAAATACGTCATTTATTTAAACAAGAGCAGATGCTATGACCTAGCACTTTCACTTCTAAGAAAATTTTTGCACATTGCACCAGGATTCATATGCAGGAATATTCATAGCAGCATTATTTATAATAATACAAAATTGGACAGGACCCAGTGTTCATTGGCAGGGGAATAGGTAACATGTAGAATATTTATACAGTGGGATACTACACAGCAGTGAAAGCAATCAACTACAGCTACTCATATCAGCATGACTTGTGTAAAAAGTTTAAGCAAACAGTGAATCAAATAGGAGAGTGACAAAAACATGAGGGGAACTCTGCTAGTAGGGGCTATGGCAAAGGTTTTGTAGAGACTACCTGGAAGCAAAGCGAAAAAACATTAATTGGCTGTGATGTATATTGCCTTATTTGGGAAAACTTAGTTATTTGGCTCTTATGATAATTGCTCTTGAGTACCATTTTCTTGATTCAAGAAAAATCTTGTTGACTCTGCCTTTGGTTTCTTTCAGACCAGTAAAGGCACTAAAGCTGTTAAAGTCTAGTAGGCCATCTTGTTAAGCTATTTTAACACTGCATCTCAGCACATTTTGAAGGAAGCCAATTACAAGAATTAAAAAAATATAATTCAATTTATATATCACTAAACAGTAAAACTCAACCTGTGTATACTGGCCTTACCTTTGTTTGGAGATAAACTCATCTAATAAAAAACTATAGAAAAATAAAGAAATGATTTATACAGAAATTATGGCAGTGATATTCTGAGATGAAGAGAGAGGTATGCAATGAGTAGTAAGACAAATAAAGTTTCAAAGGCTTTGGTGATATTTTATTACTTAAGCTTACAGGGGGTTGGAAAGGTATGCATTTTTCACAAGGATTGTATCTTGGAAGAGAACTTCTGTATTACTTCACAACTGGTTACAAAAAACTTCAAGCACATTAAAGCTAAGTTTTCTCTGCTGCTTGCTTTGCTCTTAGGTGCCAGATACATTTTATCCTTTAGGTAGTTTTAGTCTTATCTGACTTCAAATACTCTAAGGTATTGACCTGGCATGTCTAATATCCATTTCTTGTTCTTTAATATCTGAATTTACAGAGACTGAACGAACCAAAGAAGAGGTTGGTTCTGCCTCATCGAAAAAAGGTCAGTGCAGCTTAAAGAAAAACATGTCATGACTGTAACTTCTTTACGCTAAAGTTTCTAACTTAATGTATTGTCTAATGCTTATCAGTTCAGTTCAGTTCAGTCGCTCAGTCGTGTCTGACTCTTTGCAACCCCATGAATCGCAGCACGCCAGGCCTCCCCGTCCATCACCAACTCTCGGAATTTACTCAAACTCATGTCCATTGAGTTGGTGATGCCACCCAGCCATCTCATCCTCTGTCGGCCCCTTCTCCTCCTGCCCCCAATCCCTCCCAGCGTCAGGGTCTTTTCCCATGAGTCAATTCTTCACATGAGGTGGCCAAAGTATTGGAGTTTCAGCTTCAGCATCAGTCCTTCCAATGAACACCCAGGACTGATCTCCTTCAGGATGGACTGGTTGGATCTCCTTGCAGTCCAAGGGACTCTCAAGAGTCTTCTCCAACACCACAGTTCAAAACCATCAATTCTTTGGTGCTCAGCTTTCTTCACAGTCCAACTCTCACATCCCAACAAGACCACTGGAAAAACCATAGCCTTGACAAGATGGACCTTTGTTGGCAAAGTAATGTCTCTGCTTTTTAATATGCTATTTAGGTTGTAAGTGTCTTTTAATTTCATGGCAGCAGTCACCATCTGCAGTGATTTTGGAGCCCAGAAAAATAAAGTCAGCCACTGTTTCTACTCTTTCCCCATCTATTTTCCATGAAATAATGGGACCGGATGCCATGATCTTAGTTTTCTGAATGTTGAGCTTTAAGCCAACTTTTTCACTCTCCTCTTTCACTTTCATCAAGAGGCTTTTTAGTTCCTCTTCACTTTCTGCCATAAGGGTGGTGTCATCTGCGTATCTGAGGTTATTGATATTTCTCCAGCAGTCTTGATTCCAGCTTGTGCTTCTTCCAGTCCAGCATTTCTCATGATGTACTCTGCATATACGTTAAATATGCAGGGTGACAATATACAGCCTTGACGTACTCCTTTTCCTATTTGGAACCAGTCTGTTGTTCCACGTCCAGTTCTAACTGTTGCTTCCTGACCTGCATATAGGTTTCTCAAGAGGCAGGTCAAGTGGTCTGGTATTCCCATCTCTTTCAGAGATGCTTATAGAAGAGCCTTATTTGTTGATTTTATTCTTTCACTGATATAGAACAAAGTCACTTTGCACAAAATTTGTAGTACCTATGTTAACAAGGCTTTGTCTTCAGTACTGTGATGCCAAAAATTTTTATTCTTTTAGGGTCATAAATTAAAGATAATAATTATAGTCCAATTGTAAGTTCATTGTTGAAAATAAATTGAAGAAATGCAACTGTGTAAACTCCACAGAATCCAATCATCTGGAGAGCATTCAAACTCAGTACACTGATTTGTATGTTTAGGGTTTGAACAAACAGAACTTTGCCTAGTAGAACTTCCATGAACAATGTTCACTTTATGTAAGAATAGTGTAAAATTAGAAAATACGTTCCTTGGGATGCTTGCCTGGAAAGAAACATATTAGGAAGTTTGGAATTTAAGTTTTTAAATCTATTTTTCTTGTTATATCTAATCAGAAGCAACCATTATGTGAATATTGACTCCTCTTAGTTGATACTCTAAAGAATATCTTTAAGAACATTAATATATGTTAATAATATTCAGTATGATGAGAAATTTACATGTTCTCCATTCAAAATAAACTGGGATAATATTGAAATTTGTGATTTTGCTTTACAAATAGATATGAAATCAATAATATATCCAGTATCTTTGGAAGAATCTCAAGGCACAGTTTAGCAACCCTATCCTCCACACACACATATACAAACACTACACACATACCCTTTCCCATATATGCCACTAAAATGACTTAACGTTTTTCTTCTTAAAAGCTCTTTATTGCATATGCTCTTTAGGAAAATATGTATCAAGGCTGTAGGGAGATATATATATATGATACATATCCACATTCCCAAGTTTTATATATATATACATGGATATATTTATAAATGTATATATATTGATAAATGTATATATTAATCAAGTAAACTATAAATTAATATGTTATTTATATAAATTAGTGTATAAGTTACTATACACATGTATATACTGATGAAAGACAAAAAAATTAAAGGATACTTAAAGGAAATATAAACTGTATTGTAAGATAATACTTAATTAGAACCAGTTGAATTATTTAATGAGTTTGCTTTTTCAAATATAACTCTACTTATTATTCTGAATTTATAGTAGATAGAAATAAAATCTGTTTCTTAGACAGCTTTTTTCTTAGTAACCTAGTATTTGTGATGTCATTTTTGAGATAAGTGACCATGATACCTGTTTCATGAACATGTTTTACTAGGTATCGATTTGCCATAAGTGGCAGAGCCTTGAATTTATTGGAAGCCCATATTAATATATGTCATTCTTTTATGAGGTCTTATTCTGAAATCACTTTTGCTTGTCTGCATTAAGTGTAATGTGTGAGTAAAACCTGGGTGCTTCAGAATGGATAATTCCATGGTGTCAATAACAAGGCTAAGGGTCTAAATACAGTTTCAGAGAAAGTCATAATCTAGGCAAAAGGATACAGGGTACATGGATCTAGTAAGTAACTATAAGGTAAGGACATCTATATATGTTGAAGCAAGATTAGAAGGAAGGCAGAATTGTGTTCAGAATCTTCAGCTGTGAATGTGACCAGTGGGATGTCCAAGAGCAGTTATATGGATTTTATCTGGAATTAGATTTCACATATTGAGCCTCAAGAAATCTTTGATTGTCAAGACAGTCTGGAGACAGAGTTAAGAAGGAAAGATTTGAAAACTAGTAGCTGACCCATGCACAGACTCTGAATCACTTGGAGCCTAGATATTTAGGGTAGAAATATGAGCACACATAATACGGAGTTCCATAATAAGGCTTCCCTGGTGGCTCGGAGGTTAAAGCGTCTGCCTCCAATGCTGGAGACCCAGGTTTGATCCCTGGGTTGGGAAGATCCCCTGGAGAAGGAAATGGCAACTCACTCCAGTATTCTTGCCTGGAGAATCCCATGGTCGGAGGAGCATGGTGGGCTACAGTCCATGGGGTCGCAAAGAGCCAGACACGACTGAGCAACTTCACTTTCAGATTCACTTTCAATATGGAGTGAGTCAAGTCCCATTATAGTAAACAGACATACTGAATTAATATTGAATCTTAATTTATTGAATTCACTGAAATATTCAACCAAGAATGATCTCTGAGTTTAGAGTAAGGCCAAGCATTTTGGTTGGGATTAATTAGAACTGATTGCTAGGCTCAGAATGAAATGCAAGGAGGTAAATAACCTGTTTATGAAAATAGAGTGTTGGCATTAGTTACTTTGCCTCTAGTTAATCTTAGATCTCATACCTCAATCATTAATTTAAATATGACTCTACATATTAGATTTCCTTGCAGCTATAGAAAATGAACAGAAACAAGTGTTCCTTCCAAAGCCGCCATAAATATTTTGAAACTCAGGTAGGACTTAACCAGTCTGACAAGTAAAAAATAACATTTAAAGGAGACTCTTCTCATTTGTCAGGTAGTTTCATTTCTCCTTATCAGTGACAATTAATCACACATGAAATATATATTGTTTCATCGTACATATAGTAACCAACCCCCAAGATTGCCTTTGGGCTTTCTTTGTTTTTAAGATACTGGACTTTATTATTCTACATTGAGCCTTGAACTAGGAACTGTGTTACAATGTTAAGTGGAAATTACTGATTTTACGATTGTTTTAAATGTTCAAGGTTAGAAAAATAATTAAATATTTTAAATTAATCACAGTGTGCCAGTTTATATCTGGTATAAATTGTTTAATCTTAAGCTTGCTTCTAAGTCAAATTTTATTTGGAGATATATAGTATTAAATCATCAATATGATAATTATCTTACTGTTTTATATTTGTTTTGAAGTTTTCAAATACTTTTCACTTTCATTCAACATATACTTGTGGATCATACACTATGGGAAAACTTAAAGAAATATTCACATATTACTTGAGCAATTAAAATCATGAATATATGAACCTTGATTGGCTCCATGAGTTATTTAGGCCTCATTTTTTTTGTTTTTTTGTTTTTTTTTTTTTGCTTTCAGCTAAATGTTTTCCATATGATCATAGTTTATGTTTGAAAGCCAACAGGGTAAATAGATAAATAGAGATAAAGTGCCATAGGAGTTTAAAAATTATTCTTACCTTAGGAAAAGCAAAAGATTTGCTGTAAAAGGTGACTTTAAATTTAAGCCCTAAATAACAGGTAGTCTTTTGTTACATAATAATTAGTTGAAAGAATATCTTGGGCCTATGTAACAGAGGAAGGCAAAGCAGAGGGAAACTGCATGGTGTCTATGAAATAATAAGAGTCTCAAGAATACAATATGAATTAATACAACTTGTGCTAATAATGCTGTAAGTGGGCCTGATTTTAAAATTCAGCTCTATCTTATGAGCCCTAGGGAGTCAATGAAGAATTGTAAGTATAGGAATGATACTCAGACTTTTGCTTTAGAAAATTAATAGACACTTGCTCCTTGGAAGAAAAGTTATGACCAACCTAGACAGCATATTAAAAAGCAGAGACATTACTTTGCTAACAAAGGTCCGTCTAGTCAAAGCTATGGTTTTTTCAGTAGTCATGTATGGATGTGAGAGTTAGACTATAAAGAAAGCTGAGCACAGAAGAATTGATGCTTTTGAACTGTGGTGTTGGAGAAGACTCTTGAGAGTCCCTTGGACTGCAAGGAGGTACAACCAGTCCATCCTAAATGAGATCAGTCCTGGGTGTTCATTGAAACGACTGATGCTGAAGCTGAAACTCCAATACTTTGGCCCCCTGATGTGAAGAACTGACTCATTTGAAAAGACCCTGATGCTGGGAAAGATTGAAGGTGGGAGGAGAAGGGCACAACAGAGGATGAGATGGCTAGATGGCATCACCGACTCAATGGACATGAGTTTGAGTAAACTCTGGGAGTTGGCGATGGACAGGGAGATCTGGTGTGCTACAATTCATGGGGTCACAAAGAGTTGCACACAACCAAGCGACTGAACTCACTGACTGAACTGAGGCTCGTTAGGAAGTCTGGCAATGATGTAGGCAATGTCCATTAGGATCTGATATTAGTCATGAAATTGGAAAGAAGGGATATTATATGAGCACTATTATAAAATAGATTCTATGGATCTTGACAAGGTTGTCCAACTTTGCAAGGGAAAAGTTCAGAAATTATCTAATAAAAAGTTTTGAAGCTGAGTACTAGAAGAATATCAGAGGAGGAAAGGGCCCCCCACCCCAGTATTCTTGCTTTGGAAATACCATGGAGAGAGGAGCCTGGTGAGCTACAGTCCATGGGGTCACAAAAGAGTCAGACAAACTTAACTAGTAAACAACAACTAGAAGAATATTATTTAATATAAATATGAAATGATAAAAATGAAAATGAGTAATAAAATGGGTAATAAAAATGAAAAAAAAGATAAACTATTTTGTGAGAGAAGACAAGATTAATTTTAGACATTTGAAGTAAAGTGCTGTGGCACATGCAAGTAACGTCAAGTGAATTAAGTCAAACAAAGGCATGTGTCATCTAATTTTATGCATGAGTAAAATACAAAAAACAAACAGAAAACTAAAATAAATCAACAAAGAAAACAAAACCTAACATGTAGATATAGAGATCAGAGTGGTGGGGAAGGTTCAGGGGGGATGAATGTATAAATATGATAGTAAAGATTGGAAACTAAATTTTTGGTGGTGAGCATTCTGTAATGTATTCAAAAGTAGAAATATAATCTTGTACACATGAAAGTTTCATAACGTTATTAATCAATGTTACCTCAGTAGTATTATATAGTAAGATATAAATACTCATGCCACTAGCTTTCATTTGAGAAAGCATCTTTTGGTATCTTTATAATAAAAGTGAGATTGAGGTTTGCTATAAGCTGGAACTTTGCAGGTAATTAAACAGTGATAAAGTAAATAAAAAGAAAACAAACCTGAAACTATAGAAAACCAACTTCTCCACCTCACAGTTCCTTTCAGGACAGTCTGTCCATAATCAAGGCATTACTGTATAAGAATGATAGCTACTTTGTTTCCTTAGTAGCTGGAATCTCTGAAGGTGTGCAGCACAAATCTACTTTTTCGCTTAAAATAGACCCCTCCAAATGTTGATCAATATGAATGGTGTGATCACTCATCTAGAGCCAGACATCCTGGAATAAGAAGTCACATGGGCCTTGGGAAGCATCACTATGAACAATGCTAATGGAAGTGATGGAATTCCAGCAGAGCTATTATCAAATACTAAAAGATGATGCTTTGAAAGTGTTGCACTCAATATGCCAGCAAATTTGCAAAACTCAGGAGTGGCCACCAAACTAGAAAAGGTCAGTTTTCATTCCAATCCCAAAGAAAAGCAATGCCAAAGAATGTTCAAGCTACTGCACAATTACACTCATTTGACACGCTAGCAAAGTAATGCTCAAAATTCTACAAGGTAGGCTTCAACAGTATGTGAACCGTGAACTTCAGGATGTTCAAACTGGATTTAGAAAAGACAGAGGAACCAAAGGTCAAATTGCCAACATCTGATGATGGATCATAGAAAAAGCAAGAGTTTTCCAGAAAAACATCTACTTCTGCTTTATTTACTACTCTAAAGCATATGACTGTGTGGATCACAACAGTCATTCTCAACAGATGAGAATACCAGACCACCTTATCTGCCTCCTGAGAAACCTGTATTCTCGTCAATAAGCAACAGTTAGAACCGGACATGGAAAAATGGACTGGTTCCAAATTGGGAAAGGAGTACGTCCAAGCTATATATTGTCACTCTGCTTGTTTAACTTATGTGTAGAGTACATCATGCAAAATGCTGGACTGGATGAAGTTCAAGCCCAATCAAGATTGCCAGTACAATGTCAATAACCTCAGATATGCAGGGGACACCACCCTTATGGCAGAAAGCGAAAAGGGACTAAAGAGCCTCTTGATGAAAGTGAAAGAGGAGAGTGAAAAAGCTGGCTTAAAAGTCAGCATTCAAAAAACTAATATCATGGCATCCAGCCCCATCCCTTTATGACAAATAGGTTGGGGAACAATGGAAGCAGTGACAGAGTTTATTTTCCTGGGCTCCAAAATCACTGCAGATAACGACTGCAACCGTGAAATTAAAAGACACTTACTCCTTGGAAGAAAAGCTATGACAAACTTAGATCGCATATTAAAAAAGCAGAGACATTACTTTGTTTTTATGGACCAACAAAGGTCCATATGGTCAAAGCTATGGTTTTTCCAGTAGTCAAGTATGAATGTGAGAGTTGGACCATTAAGAAGGCTGAGCACTGAAGAATTGATGCTTTTGAACTGTGGTGTTGGAGAAGACGCTTGAGAGTCCCTTGGACTGCAAAATCAAACCAGTCAATTCTAAAGAAAATCACTCTTGAATATTCATTGGAAGAACTGATCCTGATGCTGAAGTTGAAGCTCCGTTACTTTGGCCACCCAATGCAAAGAGCTGGCTCATTAGAAAAGACCCTGATGCTGGGAAGGATTGAAGGCAGGAGGTGAAGGGGGTGACAGTTGATGAGATGGTTGGATGGCATCACTGATTCAATGGACATGAGTTTGAGCAAGCTCCAGGAGATGGTGAAGGACAAGGAAGCCTATGTTCTGCAGTCCATGGAGTCACAAAGAATTGGATAGGATTTAGCAACTGTACAACAATAAAAAGCCTGATATTACGTGCAGAAGACAACATGCAACCAAGTTGGTTTTATTTCTGGAATGCAATTTCAAAAATCAACATAATTATCCATAATAATATAAAGGGAAATTAAACTTTTCATAAATGATGCATTTGATGTATTTCATATTAAAGTAGAAAGTAACTTCCCTATTTTGAGACTATATATACAAAAACTATTAACAAATATTATACTCAATGGATAAAATGGAAAGATTTCTCACTGAGAATTGGAAAAGACAAGGATGCTATCAGCACTTGTATTAAATATTATACTGGGTATTCCAACCCTTGCAATAAAGTGAGAAAAAGAAGTAATTTGTACAGAAATAAGAAAATTAAAAATAAAACTTTATTCACAGGTGAAATTGTCTATTTGAAAAATTTTTTTTTGAAAATTTCTAAAGAATCTACAAATGAATTATTACAACTGAGTGAACTTAGGAAGTTTCATATAAAACTCTTCTCTTTTTTTGCTCTGGTTAATATCATTAACTTTTTGAAAAGATCATGGTCATTTACACTGCAGACACTTTAGGTTTTCTATAATAGTTTCTTCAGAATATTTCTTAATATGTTCTTTATATCCTATGTTTGATTAAACTAAAGCTTGGCTTAACTTGATTTCATTTAAATGCTTCAGCAAGGATACTTCAGAGGTGATAACTGTTGTATATCACCCTGCCTGTCATTAGAAGTGCAGAATGTCTGAATGTCCCATTATGAATGAGTCGTTTTAAGTTTCATCAGTGTGTTAAGTTGGTGACAACCACATTTTCACTTCAAAGTTGCAGCTCTTGAGGGTATGATGGCAATATTCAGTTGCCCATTCATCCTTCTAATAGTTGCCAATGTCCTCTGAAGATCCTTGCTTTAATCAGTTATTTCAGTACATTGACTTTGTCTGAACTCTATTTCTTGGATGTATAAACAGGTAAACAGATAATTCTACTGCTCCACCAATAGCAGTAAAATCTCAGTAGTTCTTCAGAAATAGTACCAAAGTAATACTTTTTTTTTTTTTTGGTTACTTGTAATTTGGATGACTTCATTTAGTATTTAAGCAAATCTCAAGCATGACGACACTGTCCTTTGAGCTAATTAAGCGATATTAAGTATGAATTTAAACGAGCACCTTGTTGACATTTTCAAGATGCTAAGTGGTTCCAGCAATAGCCTGGAATGTAAGTCGATTAATCATAATCGTATCAAGCAGAACTCTTCACAGAGCTTGTTTATCAAAGCAACATGTAAAAGAGTAAGGTGGGAAACAGTATGTAAAAACTAGTAGGAAGAGGGCAAGGGATTATTTTTATTTCTCTAATTCTTTAAGAGTAGACTTATAATAGTAGGTTTCTGTTGAATTATAGAGAAATGAGAAGTATTGAAAAAGCTTTAAAAGAGCCTGTTTAGAAGAAATCTTTGGCATTGAATGAGTTACAAAATGCCTTTTTGTGCAGAAGCAGCATTTCCATTGGAACTTTTATTTAAACTTATCTCTACTTTGCAGCTGTACCTGGAAAGAAGGAAGAGAAAACAACCAAGACAGTGGAGCAAGGTAAAAAAAAATGAAGGAGGTTGACATTATCTTCTTTAGAAAGACAACAACGTGAGGAGGAAAGCACTGGATTCAGACAGGCGGACGACAATAACCTTTAAATCGATTGCTTTCTATCACTGTCCTTGCACGTTTCTCTGTGCCAGGGAGAATGTGAGGTGGCAATCTGGGTTTTTGTTCTTTTGTATAACTAAACTCTGAGTGTAAGTTCAGAGCAGGAAAGCTCCACAAACTGCTTAATTACACCAAGAACAATGCTGAAGATTGTTGGGAATAAGGAAAACTTTCAGGCCAATTGGTAGACATTGTTTCCTGTGTGATTTGTGGTTTTAACACCACCTGATTGATCATAGTTTAAAGAACAGAGATGACACAATTCTGTTTATGCAAGAACAATTTCTTGCTTGAAATTCTTGCACAATTTACTGCTTGAAAAATAATATGTTAAAACAAAGTGAAAAACCAGCAATACAAGTGAATTACTTGAGTCTGTATTACAACTTCAGCAATTGATTCTCCCAAGAGGTCTAAAATTTCAGTATTATAAATCACAATGCTATAAATAATGCATTTTCTTTTTACTTATGCAACTATATAATAAACATATCACTCTAGAATATGCTTGAGGAAAATACTACAACGTAGTAGAGTAAAAGCATTTGAGGTGATGTTGTGCCTTCTATTAGAGCTCACATTGCTAATGATTTTAATTGTTGTCCCCTCAATCCTTTGGCTTTTAATATACTATAATATTATAATATTTACTATTAATTATAATCAGTAGGTGAGGTTAGAACTAGCATAGTTTTGTCAAGAATTAAATGAAAATAACTTCTCCTCTTAGAGACAAATTTCTAATATCAGAAATTTAGATATTTTTACATAAGTGTATTAAGAAAATCATTCAAACCCTCACATTTCAGATAAGTAAACTAAGTCAAGGGTTGACTAATTTAAAGAATTAGTCAAGGATTGACTTCCTTGGCCTTATCAAAATAAAAATCACATTGAAAAAGTTTTCAAATTCATTTTGGTTTCTGCAGAGTACCTGGACTTTTAGAGTTCAGTTGAGTGTTTCTGTCAGCCTCTTTTTGAGGCGGATATGTTTGTCTCTGAAATATAAAGTTGAGGTATAAGAGCATGGATCCCAGTCTCAACTTGTTGGCCTTGATAATGTTCTGAGCCTAAATTTCTTCTCTAAAAAATAGGGTTAATTATACTTGACCTGCCTGTCTGACAAGATGTGGAGTTCAAAATATATGTGAAAGGATATGAAAAAATGTAAACTCCTAGTTAAGTATTTAGTATTTACTAGACCTTTTTCCTTATGAAATCAGCTTCAGTATAAGTGAGAATCAGATCACTTTGCTTTCATTAAGCTTCATAGTTTTACTCTTCTCTAGTATAAAGGTGTTGGATGCCCATCTTATGGCATTTGCAAATTGTTTTTATAACCACAGCAAATTAAGAGAAGACTTACTAGAATATAAAATGCCCACACTAATAATAGTACCTAACATATAACTGATTTAAGCACAGATTGTTTTATTTCTTTTTACCTTCATGTTTGTGTCAGTTTATTAATTACATAATGTTGCCTCAGAAAGTTCAGAGACTGGAAATGGCTCTTAAAGTCGTGAATTTACTCCTTCGGATGATTTTATAATTCATTCTTTTACTAAACTCATTTTATTTTATAAACACTTAGGCATTTGGCTTATATAAAAATGAGTCTTTCAATGATTTTAATATTGATTTAGTAAATCATTACAGTTTTAAATAGTATAAAGCAATGGCTTCATATTTTTAAACTACACAGATCATAAAAAATAGGGTATTTGGATTACTTGAATATTTTTGTGATGATATATCTATGACAATTTGTATGAAAAATATATTTTGTGATTTTAATAAATTAAGGAATTTATGTGAGAATAAATCACTTACATTCTATAGATTTCATCATAATATTCTAATATTTATTCCTGAGATGATGTTTGACTATTGTGTAGTTCTCTTATTAATATAGATTTTATATTTAGAAGTATAAATAATCTAAAACCAGTTCATAATGCATTGAAGTACAATTAAATGGTTTATAAAGAGTTATTTTCAATATTTTAAGTTTGAACTTACAAACTCTTTTAGGGACAAACTTTCACTTGTACTTCTTAATAGGTTTCAAATACACTTTCTGACCTATGTAAAATTGAGTATATTGAACCTCTGGACCTATTCTGCATTATGATTGCTAGGGAAGCATTGATTAAGCTAAACTTTATGCTATGGAAAATTCATATAGAAATAGGTGAAAAAAATTTTATGTTAATGTAATTTAGTAAACTGGACCTCATATCATGTAAGAATTAGAAATTTAGTTAATTTAACTTTTGCAAAAGTCTAAAAGTATACCTCTAATTTTGTCTGCAATTCATTGAGGGATCATGTGGTTTCCAGTTGTTCTCATAAAGATCGTACATTGGCTAGACAAGAATTTTGAGTGTTAAGAAAATCTTTATAAATTTCCCCACTTTAATGATACACACACATACACACACACCACAAACACCATTAGCAATTTCTCTTTGTTTAGAAAGAAATTACCTAGAAGCATCAGGAGACACAAATATATTCCACAGTACATGTGGCTGTCCTTATAGTGAGAACCAAGGAATGCCAAAGATAAATCACAACACACTCTACTGTATGAGGATTTGTCTTTATATTTATTGTATATTATATTTAGAAAGAATACATCACATTTCATTGGTGGTTTAGTCACTAAGTCATGTCCGACTCTTTGTGACCCCATGGATTGCAGTCAGCCTAGCTCCTTTATCCATGGGACTTTCCAGGCAAGAATACAGGTGTGGGTTGCCATTTCTTATTCCAGCAGAACTTCCTGACCCAGGGATTGAACCTATGGCTCCTGCAACTCCTGCATTGCATTGCTCTTTACCACTGAGCCACCAGGGAAACCACTTCAATGTAATTTCATTTCATTAAGCTTGGTTAATTCACATTTCATTAAGCTTGGTTTATTTATTGATATTTAATTTGATATTTAACTTCTCATATTTAGTGTACATTTTTCTCCTTGATATTACTTTTCAACATTGACCTGTCCCCCTAAGTCCAATTTCCCTCTCTCTTTTTTAATCTTGCTTTCTCTCAGAAGAAAATCTTTGGTAATATTTGCTTGTTACTAGCCAGAAGATCAAAGCAGTCACTCTCAGGAAGCATTCAGTGAAGTCTTACTTACTGGGGTAGGGCAGGAGACCAGTCAAGACAATTAACTTTAATGATCTGAGTTGTAGATTAGAGTCCCAGCATCTCCTTATTTCTAATTTTCTTCCTTCAATGTGATTTCAATCTAAATTTTGGTGAAGAAAATAGTAATAAATCAAATCACTCACATATCATCTTTCTTTTTCTTTCATTCATACTTGTGCATGATATCACTTAAAGCTTTCTTTAAGAATTTATTCTAAGGGATTCTAACAATGCTGGCATGTAGGAAGTATTCAATAAGTACTTGTGGGTTGAATAAAAACATAGAGGAATTGTTGAAGAAAGGAATATTAGGTGATGCAGATTGCAATAATCTGTTTCTCTAATACTGTACAATTATGATATTTTAGTAAATCACATGTGATTTCTGATAGCAAAAGTTGTCAAATATTTTGGAAACCAGAGGATAACTGATTAAATCATCCATCTACCCTTATTTTAAAGTAAAAACATTAGATGAAATTAATAATTAAACCTGCTGCTGCTGCTGTGCTATGCTGTCATGTCTGACTCTTTGCAGTCCCATGGACTGTAGCCCACCAGGCTCCTCTGTCCATGGAATTTTCCAGGTAAGAATACTAGAGTGGGGTGCCATTCTCCTCTCCAGGGGATCTTCCAGACCCAGGGATTGAGCCCTCTTCTCTTGCATCACCTGCATTGGTAGGGAGATTCTTTACCACTAGCACCACCTGGGAAGCCCAACTAAATACTAATTGATAATTAATTACACCATTATTAGGATCTTTGTAGAAGGTATTGTTACATAACAAAACCTTGTGGTGAACCATCATATGGATAAAAATTTTGAGTAAATTACATTTTAGCAATTGTACCTTCTATATTGTGAATTTTTAAAAAACTTAAAATGAAAGAGAAAATTTAGTAATTGCCCAGTGAGGTCAATGTATAAGTGTGAGTATAGCAACATTAGGCCTTATCATTATTTTTAGTGGTTTTACAATTATAAAGGTGAATTAGCTGATCTTCCACTCCTTTAAATTATAAAAAAACTTATATTTACTGAAGTTTTCAAGTAGTATGTCCCTTATATCAGAATATAAAATGTCTATCAGAAGGCTGGTCTAGAAAGACTTATTTCTAAGATTCTAAGTCTCAAATGTTAAGGGAAAACATACTTTATAAACTTGGAAAATTTAGTATCCCAAAATTAAGCTGCAAATTTCATTACAGGAATATTCAGTAGAGTTTTCCATCCTCTTAACAATTAAAAATCACTTCAAAATCTACTTAAGTACAAACATGACAAAAATATTCATGAAAAATGATTAAATAGAATTTAAGTGCCTATTAACAACCAAAAATAAATTTGAACACAGTAATTTTATAAAGAGTAAAATTGTGGATCATAAATGTATCAAATACAGTTCATTTCTTGTAATAAAAATTGTATTTTGCTTAAAATGAAGAAATATTTCCAAATTTGTAAGTACAGTAATTTGTGTCCGCTTGAGCTTTTGTCTTTCTTTGGCTTTTTGCAATTTTGTAAACAGTGATATCCCACATCATTGTATTAGTGTTTTAAATTGTCACAGAGGCAAGTGAAACCCAGTGCTATTTACATGCTTTGTGTATTTGTCACTGTCCTCACTTTTCAGATTTTCTTCTATTCTTTGTAAATGAACTGATCTATTTAGAACCTGTGATATGTGTTTGTTTTAGATTAATCCCATACTTTCAAGTGAATGTTAATAATATCTAATAGTAGTGATTTCTATGAGAGAAACTTATTTAAATAATAAATGTTTATAATTCATGATGTGTCAACACTATAAAAAAATAGAAACAATTTTATATTTAAGATCAATGGAGTAAAACTGAAAGTGTAGTTGATACATACTGTATTTAATTATTTGCTTAATGTGTGTTATAAAATAACCTATTTTCACATGTGGACTA